TAATCCCAGCACTTTGGGAAGCCGAGGTGGATGGATGCCTCAGGTCATGCATTTGAGAATAGACAGCTTGAGCGAGACCCCCATCTCTAAAAATATAGCTGGGTGATATGGCAGGTACCTGTAATCCCAGCTACTTGGGAGGCTGAGGCAAGATAATTGCTTGAGCCCAAGAGTTAGAGGTTGCTATGACACCAGGGCACTCTACGAGGGCGACAAAGTGAGACTCTGTCTCAAAAAAAAAAAAAGAAAAAAGACTTAAGACTATCCTTTGTCATTTTTATTTAGTATTGGATGGGAGGTTCTAAATGGTGTAATAAGATAAGAAAATCTAAATTAGAAAGGAAGAAGTAAAACTATATTTTCAGACAACATGATCATCTATTTAGAAAAGCCAATGTAATCTGTAAAAGACAATGCTAGACCTAGTAACTTTAGCAGGGTTGCAGGATAGAAGACCAGTATACAAACCAGTTGTATTTTTGTATATTAACAATGAACAATTGGAAATTGGGATTACAAAGCAACTCTATTTACAAAAGCATCAAAAACTATGAAAGAATCATAAATCTAACAAAAGATGTATAAGATCTGGACACTAGAAGCTACAAAACATTGCTGAGAGAAATTAAAGACCTAAATAAACTAAAAGATGTACATGCTCTTGGCTTCATAAAGATGTTACCTCTCACCAATAGGTTCAACACAGTCTCAATTAAAATTCTAGCGGGGGCTTGGAACCCATAGCACAGTGGTTACAGTGTCAGGCACATACATTGAGGCTGGCAGGTTTAAATCCAGCCCGGGCCAGCTAAACAACAATGACAATTGCAACAAACAATAGCCGGGCGTTGTGGTGGGTGCCTGTGGTTCCAGCTACTTGGGAGGCTGAGGCAAGAGAATTGCTTAAGCCTAAGAGTTTGAGGTTGCTGTGAACTGGGATGCCACAGCACTCTACTGAGACTCTGAAAAAATAAAATAAAATTCCAGCAGGCCTTTTAAAAAAATTTTTTTTATTTCAACTTTATTACTTTGATGGTTTAAAAAAAATTTTTTTTTTATTACTTATTCCTCCTATTGTGTTTTCTTGCCCCCCATGGAGCTGGGATCACAAGGTCCAGCTGTCTCCTTGTCCTGTTCTTGTAGAGACGGGGTCTCACTCTGGCTCATCTGGCTCAGGGGGGTCTTCAGTTGGTCTCGAACCTCTGAGCACAGGTGATCCACCCACCTCGGCCTCCCACAGTGCTGGGACAACAGGCGTGAGCCACCACTCCTGGCCTTTTTTTTTTTTTTTTTTAAACATAGCAGTTGACTATGTCTGAAATTTATCTGGAAATGCAAAAGACCTAGACTAGCCAAAACAACTTTGAAAAAAAGTAAACAAAGCTGGAAGACTAATACTACCTGATTTTAAGATTTCATAAAGTCACACTAGTCAGGATATTGTGGGATAGATATGGAATCTTTTTTCTTTTTTTATGTAGGTCTTGCTATGTTGCCTAGGCTGGCCTTGAACTCCTGGGCTTGGGCAATCTTCCCACTTCTGCCTCTTGAATAGCTGGGAATATAAGTGTATGCCACCATGCCTGGATTAGTATGAAATTTTTATGACCTAGGCTTAGGCAAAGATTTCTTTTTATTTTTTATTTAAAAAATTTTTTTTGCAGTCTTTGGCTGGGGCCAGGTTTGAACCCACCACCTCTGGTAATATGGGGCCGGCGCCCTACTCCTTTGAGCCACAGGCGCCACCCGGCAAAGATTTCTTTATTTTTTTTCTTTTTCTTTCTTTCTTTTTTTTTTGAGACAGAGCTTCAAGCTATCCCCCCTGGGTAGAGTGCTGTGGCATCACAGCTCATAGCAACCTCCAACTCCTGGGCTCAAGCGAGTCTCCTGCCTCAGCCTCCCGAGTAGCTGGGACCACAGGTGCCCACCACAACGCCTGGCTATATTTTTTGGTTGCAGCCATCATTGTTGTTTGGCGGGCCTAGGCTGGACTCAAACCTGCCAGCTCAGGTGCCAAGCCCTTTTTATTTTCTAAGACAAAACCTATCTTAGAATTTTGTTGTTAGGTAAAGAATTCTTAGATATAATACCAAAAGTTTTAATCCATAAAAGAATAAATGGATAAGTTGAACTTCATCAAAATTTGTAAAACTTTTGTTTCAAAGTGACCTTTGAGGCCCAATGTGGTGATTAAAAACTTTATGATACTGCTACATACCTTTTAGAATGCTTAAAATTAAAAAGATTGAGCATATCAATTGTTGGTGACGATACAGAGGAATTAGAACTCTCATACACTGCTAGTCAGAATGTAAAATAGTACAATCGTTTTGGAAAACAATTGGGCAGTTTCTTAAAAAATTAAACATGTGGTCTTACCTATTTTACTTCTAAGGTATTTATCCAAAAGAAACAAAAGTGTTATGTCCATACAAAGCCCTGTATATGAGGGTCCATAGCAGCTTCATTCGAAATAGCCAAAAACTAGAAACAACTTAACTGCTCACCAACAGGTGAGTGGATAAACTGTACATCCATCAGTGGAATACTACTCAGTGGTAAAACAGAATGAACTATTGATGACATAATGCAACTCGGATGGGTTTTTAAAGAATTAAGCTGAGTGGGCTCAGCGCCTGTGGCTCAGGTGGCTAAGGCGCCAGCCACATCCACATAAGGTGGCGGATTCAGATCCAGCCTGGGCCCGTCAAACAACAATGATGGCTGCAACCAAAAAATGGCCAGGCGTGGCGGGTGCCTGTGGTCTCGGCTACTTGGGAGGCAGAGGAAGGAGACTCACTTGAGCCCAGGAGTTGGAGGTTGCTGTGAGCTGTGATGCTAGGGTACTCTACCCAGGGGGACAGCTTGAGGCTCTGTCTCAAAAAAAAAAAAAAAAAAAAGCTGAGTGAAAGAAGCCAGACAAAAGAACACATTCCGTTTATATAAGGTTCTAAGAGGTGCAGATTCATCTAATAGTGACAGAAAGCAGATCAGCAGTTACCTGGGAAAGAATTGGCAGGGATGCACTTGGGAGGGAGTAATGTATATGTTATGTCGATTATAGTGATGATTTCACAGGTATGTACATGTTTCAGAATCAAATTGTACACTTTAAATGTGTGCAGTTTATTGTGTGTTGTTTATACCTCAATGAAACTGTTCTTAAAAATGGGTAGGGAAGCGCTTTGCACATGGCCAGACCTGGTTGCCCTTGCCTGGCTGTTCAGATCAGAAGGGTCTTTTGTGTCTCAATAGCCCAGCAAGTCCTGCCAGTTTCCCACCCTATGGTTGTGAGCCTTCCACCTTATTTTCCTGTTAACAGTGCAAATTTCAGGCTCGGCGCCTGTGGCTCAAGTGGCTAAGGCGCCAACCACATACACCTGAGCTGGCAGGTTCGAATACAGCCTGGGCCCACCAAACAACAATGATGGCTACAACCAAAAAAAAAAAATAGCTGGGTGTTGTGGCGGGCTCCTGTAGTCCCAGCTACTTGGGAGGTGGAGGCAAGAGAATCGCTTGAGCCCAGGAGTTGGAGGTTGCTGTGAGCTGTGATGCTACAGTACTCTACCTAGGGCAACAGCTTGAGGCTCTGTCTAAAAACAAACAAACAAACAAAAAAAACCAGTGCAATTTCAGTATCCATTCTTTATCTTTCTACAGGTGGATTATGGGGAACCAGACTTTCTTTCTTTTCTTTTTTTTGTCTTTTGAGACAGAGTCTCCTTATGTCGCCCTCAGTAGAGTACAGTGGCATCACAGCTCACAGCAACCTCCAGCTCTTAGCAACCTCCAGCTCTTTTTGGCTTAAGCGATTCTCTTGCCTTAGCCTTCCAAGTAGCTGGGACTATATAGGTGCCCAACCATAACACCCCGCTATTTTTTGGTTGCAGTCGTCATTGTTGTTTTAGCAAGCCCAGACCGGGCTGGAACCCACCAGCTTCAGTGTATATGGCCGGCGGCCTACTCATTGAGCTATAGGCGCTGAGCTGGGGGAACCAGACTTTCATCCTCGAATTACTTCTTCTCAATAGGTCCACAAGTTGAGTCATTTCTTGGTGTCACTGTTTACCATGTGTTAAGACACTTCATTATTGTTACAAACCCAACCAATGGACTCAAACAAGAACTGTATCAGCTCAGATTCTGGACATGAAGGGGTAGATTTCAGGCGCAGCTGGATCCTCGTAGTGCAGTGTGTGTTATCTCTTCCTTATTGTTTTGCTCTGTGTGGACTTCCTTCTCAGGCAGGCTTTCCCACGTGATGGGGGAGGCAGCCAGCAACAACAGAGAAAGAGCCCCTCCTTCCTAACTGGTCCAGTTCCAAGTTCAGCCCTCACTGGCTGGGCTTGGGTCAGCACCCTTGCCTGATCCGAATCCCTGCACCCAGGGAAGACTAGGGGCTCTTATTGCCAGGCCTGGGTCACCTGTCTAATGAGCCAGGGGTAGAGTTGGCCAGAGCCAACAATATGGATAGAGAGCAAGGAGAGGGTGTTATGTAAGGACACATCACAGCAGTGGAGAGGAGGGCGAGGATGTCAGAAGGAAAAAGCAACAGCTGGCTCTGCCCCGTAGGACAAATCCAGTTATTTTTAATTTTTAACCACGTAGAATATTAACATGCTTCCAAAAGTCAAAGTGTACAAAAGGGATACTCCCTTTGAGTGACACTTCTCCTTATGGGTAAATAGTTTCATTGAATTCTCATCTTTGTGTGTTTCTTTTTGTAAAGATAAGTAGATATGTATGTGTTTTCCTGTTTCCTCCATTTTTTTACACAAAAGATGGCAGACTGTATTCTTTTGTACTTCTTTTTTTCACGGAACAAGAGAAAAAAAAATTTAACCAGACATTGCTAGGACACAGGATCAAGTGTTGGCTTGAAACTGATGAGGTGTCCGTATGAGCATATGAAGTGACTGCCGGTTTTTTCTTCTGCTGAATGCTGTCTTTATGCTCTTTAGCCTGGGTTGTAAGTGACTCACTCTCCTCTTCCAATGCAGATGGGGGCAGCTATGCCATCCACGACTCCCAGACCCCCAGTCTGAGCTCCGGAGGTGAGAGTTCCCCCTCCACACCCAGCAGACCCAACTGGGAGATGAATTATCAAGAGGCAGCAATCTACCTCCAGGTGAGTGTCTCCCTCTTAGTACCTGGACATTCTCTGTACCTGTCAGCAGAGTGGGGCAGCCAGGGCTCTGTTGGGTGCCAGAAATTCAGCCCTGTTGCTACTTGTGTGTGAACTTCTTGTTTGTGAGACAGTCTCGAAAGCTAACTTGATTGTGCTCTTTGCGGGAGAGCCCTGAGCACCAGGATATCCTCTAACCTCTAGTTTGGGGCTGCGCCTGCCCTTGAGGTTCTCTGAGTCTGTCTACTTGGCCTTCCCTGCCCCACTCCCTCTTCTCAGCGCACCATGAGAGGACAAGTTCTCGGGAGAGAGCTGACCACTCAATGCCATCTGTAGCGGGGTTGTCAGCGTAGTGTAGGAGCAACCTGGAGCTCTTTCTTTCTTGTTTAACTTGCTGCTGCTTTGGTGTTTGCTATTTTATGCTTGGTTTTGTTTGTTTTTGTTTTTTTTTGGAAGAAATTTTTTTATAGAAGTATTATATGCTCATTACAATAAAATTAGATATGAAAAAGAAATGAGAAAACATTCACCCAAAGTAGTCGTTGTAAACATCATTTCCACTCAGATTTTTTTTTTTTTTTTTTGCAGTTTTTGGCCAGGGCTGGATTTGAACCCACCACCTCCGGCATACGGGGTCAGCACCCTACTCCTTTGAGCCACAGGCACCTCCCATTTCCACTCAGATTTTAAAAAGAAATTTTTTTTTTTTTTTTTTTTTGAGACAGAGTCTCACTTTATCACCCTTGGTAGAGTGCTGTGGCGTCACAGCTCATAGCAACTTCCAACTCCTGGGCTTAGGTGATTCTCTTGCCTTAGCCTCCCGAGCAGCTGGGACTACAGGTGCCCACCACGAAGCCCAGCTATTTTTCTGTTGCAGTTTGGCCGGGGGCCGGGTTTGAACCCACCACCCTCAGTACCTGAGGCCGACACCCTACCCACTGAGCCACAGGTGCCACCCAAGAATACATATTTTAAGAATAATATGTATATTTTCTAAAATATTTTGAAAGTCATGTGGTATCTACTTTTGTATAGTTTGCTTTTTTAATAGCATATAGTGTAAGTGTTTTTCTCATGTTCTTATAACTCTTTTTGTAAACATAATTTAAATGGTTTTCAGTTACATCAGGTAAATTATCCTAATTTACTTAACTATCCTGATACTCTTGGATATTTTCCCTTACCATGGATGATAATGCAAGGACAATCTGTGCATCCCCTCTCCCTCTTTCTGACTCTCTTTGATATTTAGGATAATTTTACTAAGAAAGACTCTAAAGTAATAGGTGGAATCAACATATTTTAAGGTCCTTGATATTTTGTCTGAAGTCCTCTCCAGAGGCTTGACCTTTTCTTCCAGGTTGGCCAACTCCACTGGCTGTGGCATTTTTACCTTAATCTTGCCGTTCTTCTTACCTTAATGTAAGATTTCAGTTTCTGGTATGCATTGAGTAAGGGTTTGAGTGAAGTTTTCCTTAAATTCATTTGTTTATTTATTTATTTATCTAGACAGAGTCTCACTATGTCGCCCTTGGTAGAGTTCTGTGGCGTCACAGCTCACAGCAACCTCAAACTCCTGCCTTAAGCAATTCTTTTGCCTCAGTCTCCCAAGATAGCTGGAACTACATGCGCCTGCCATAATGCCTGGATATTTTTTGGTAGTTATCATTGTTGTTTGGCAGGCCCAGGCTGGGTTTGAACCCACCGGCTCCAGTGTATGTGGCTGGTGCCCTAGTCCCTGAGCTACAGGTGCCGAGCCCCCTAAATTCATTTGAATGATAATTTTATCTTTTTTTCTCTGAAGCAGCTCTCTGCTGGAAGTATTTTTTTGTCATTTAAAAACAAGGGGGGATTTAATAAAATCCAGACATTCCTGTGATAGCTGTTCAGTGTCTGTGTGTTCCTCACGTGTTCATGCAGTATCAGGTAGACCTGTGCTCCTAAACAAGCACATTTTATTTGGGTGAAGGTGATAGGAACATTTAGGAAAATTTTAGCCAACTCAGGCATACCTGTTAATGATCTAGCAGAGTCATTTCATGCATGTGACCTTCTTCTCCAAGGTTGAATAAGAGCATGGAACAGGTCAGAACACAGAAGCAGAATGGTTGAAGGACCTCAAGAACCTGACAATCCCTTCTTTCCCTAAGCAGGTGAAGATCTTGGTAATAAAAACATGAGACTTTAAGGGGGTACCTGCTAATATCTGAGGTCGTCGTGGTTATCTCCCATTTTACAGTTGTGTAACTGAGACTTAGGGGCCAAGTGACGTCCAAAGTCACCCAGCTAGTAAGTTGCAGGGCTTGGTTGTAAACAGTCCATCTAGCTTCCAAATTATGTTTTCTTTTGTATAGTGTGGGATCATTTCTGTCCCTGACCGCGTGTGTCCTTATCCATGTGACAGTGAGTCATGTATTTGTGGAAAAAAGTAGTTATGGAACAGCAGGTGTGGTATGATCATTTTCATATAAAATCTGTGTACATTTTGCAGCGTGTGTGTGTGAACGGATATCCATACACATCTGGAAAGTTACTCTTCTAAATATTAAAGGCAATTATCTCTGGTTTATGGAATTTCTACTCCCTTCCAATTCCATGTATTATGTGAATTATTTTACTGAAAACTTATCACTTAAAAAAATGAAAATAAAAGCAAAATCCAGATCCCTGCCAACAATGGTTCCTAACTGTTTCTAGAAGATAGGTTTAGCTAGTGTCAAGATGTTCTTTCTTTTTGTCCTTGTGGCTGAGCTAGTACCTGCAGTGACAGGGCCGGTGGTGTGCTTGTGTAATTGGCCCTTGCTGTTTTGAGGGTAACTGGTGCCTGCAGTTTTCTCTTCTCCCACATTTTACCTGCTAACTTACTCACCCTCAGGAGCCTTGTGCTCAGCAGTCTTTGTGCCATGGAGCCAGTATCCTCATTTCTCTGTGGCCTTTGATCCTAGAGAGCAGAGAGTGAAGGCTTGAAATCACTGCCCCTGGCCTTCCTTGTTGTTCCTAATCCATTTTATAAATAGCGACCAGGAAACAAGGCTGGTTGCTGAGGACACATCAGGAGTGACTGTGTCCTCCTTTGGCGTTTGGATCAGAATCCAGTGACATGAACAATATGTCCCTCTATCTGTCCCCCATCTCCCCTGGGGCATCTCTACATCCCAGAGTCCCTCCCCCCTGAACTATGTAGTGGTTTCTTCTAGCCAGGCCTTGATTCCTGGCTATTTGTTGGATGAAATTGCCCAAGAATTGCATTTTTTAGTAATTCAAACCAGAAATTTTCTAGGCCTCTGTGTGTGACCCTCTCCCCACCCCCTGTGGCCATGGAGGTGGCAGTGGAAACCAGAGGCTTGCACAAACTTCAGGACTGTGGCCAGCTTGCCCTCCATTTCACTGCTGAGATGTTTGTTCTGGTTGTGGGGACGCCCCATCGGGTCTTTTGCCAGGTCTGCGGTTTGCCTTTATTTTTTGCTAATGAGAGTAGCAACATATCCAGCTTCAAGGAAGTGACTTGCTCAAAGTTACTCTGCAAACCTCAGTCAAGTCAAACTTTTCTCAAAATAAGTGTTTGTGAGAATGGTGACGGTGGTCTCATCCCAGAATAACTGAAGGTCTTGACTGCATCTTGAGACAGCCAGAATGCTTTCAGAAGGGTTCTGGGTGAGAGAATTTTGGTTTAAGTTTTGTAAAGTTCCACTTTCTTCCTGTAGGAAACAGAGCCTTCGGGAACAGACTCCACCCTGAGGGTTAGTGACGAGGGAAGGAGGCCAGCGAGGCCTCTCGGCCTCAGTACTATTGACAGTTGGGGCTGGTGGTTTGCCCTGGCGTTGTCCTGTGCATTGTAGGATGTTAAGCAACATCCCTGGAATCTACCACTAGATGACGGTAGCATCACCCACCTTCACTGGGGCAACCAGAAACATCTCCAGACATCACTAAGGGTCTGGGGCATAGTCAGGTGATAGTTTTGCAAGATCATCCCAGTTGAGAAGCACTGAAGCAAGGGTAGGCATGCAAAGCATTAGCCAAGTAAGTGCTCATGAAGCTGCTAAGCAGTGGCTGCTGACTGACCTTGGGCAGAGCTGCTGAAGGGGTGGGGGGCCTTGATTCTCCCTGTGCCTGCTAGCTCCAGGCAGATAGTGAAGATCTCCCCCTAGAAGGCTGACCCTAACAGGGATAGTCAGCAATGGCCTTAGACTGTCATCTGCTTGTGTTTTTTGTTGTTGTTGTTGTTGCAGTTTGGCCAGTGTGGGGTTTGAACTCGCCACCTTCGATATATGGGGCCAGCACCCTACTCACTGAGCCACAGGTGCTGCTCTGCTTGTGTTTTCAAGTGGACCATTCCTGGCTATGTACGCCATTTATTTTTTACATCATTAGCAAAAGTCCAGGACCGTCATTTAGAGTAGAGGTGGTGAAATCTGGGTGTCTGGCTCTATCACTCCAGGCTCCTACTGAAGCTCCACCTGCTGAGTTTCTCTCATGCCTATCAAATGGGGATGAGAAAAGCGCCACCAGAAAGGGAAGTCATCAGGAGTAAATGAGTGAGAAGGGCGCAAGGAAAGGCCAGCACAACGTCTGGTATTGGTGAGCAATCAACCAGGGTCAGTTACTGCTGTCTAGTTACTGTGAGGATGAAAGAGCAAAAGGCAAGGCCTATCATTCCACGGGGGTTAGAGTCATCAGAGAGAAATGGCAACATAAATGAAGAAGTAGGAAGTATGAGACCTCATGTATACCTGTTAGAACAGCTGTCATCAACGAGAGGAATGATGAGTGTGGGTGAGGACATGGAGAAAAGGAAACCCCCAGACACTGTGGGTACGAATGTAAATTGCTATAGCCGTTGTGGAAAACAGCACAGAGGTTCCCCAAATCATTAAAAGTGGAACCACCATATGAGCCAGCAAGCCTACCACTGGGTATATATCCAAAGGACATAAAATCAGTATGTGAAAGAGATATTTACACTCCCATGTTCATTGTTATGTTAGCCACTAGCCAAGATACAGATCAACCTAGGTGCCCATCAGTAGATGAATGAATAAGAAAATTGGTATATAAATACAATGGAATCTGCAGTACTATTACTAAGCCTTTAAAAAGAAGGAAATTATGTCAGTTGCTGCAACAGAGGTGAACCCGGAGAACAGTATGCTAAGGGAAGTAAGCCAGACACAGAAGGATAAATGCTGCATGATCTCACTCGTATATGGGACTAAGAAATTTGAACTCTTAGACGTAGATTAGAAGGACCTGGGGGCAGATAGGGGATAGAGAGATGTTGGTTAAGGGTACAAAGTTCCACTTGGACAAGGGGAATAGGTTTTTGACATCCATCGTGCTGCTTGGTGACCATAGTTAATCATGTAAGGTAGATTTCAAAATTGCTAAAAGAAGGCTGATATGGTGGCTTCCATCTGTAATCCTAGCACTCTGGGAAGCTAAACGTGGGAGGGTCACTCAAACTCAGGAGTTTGAGACCAGCCTGAGCAAGAGCAAGACACTGTCTCTCCCAGAAATAGAAAAATTGACCAGGTGCTGCGGCAGGTGTCTGTAGTCCTAGCTACTTGGGAGGCCGAGGCAGAAGGATTGCTTGAGCCCAGGAGTGTGAGGTTACTGTGAGTTAGGCTGACACCATGGCATGCTAGCCTGGGCAACAGAGTGAAACTCCGTCTCAAACACACACACACGGTGGCCAAAAGGTTTGTGTGCAATTTAAATAGTTACAAACTTCATGGCCACTATGTATATATAAAACTTAATTATAATTATCTGTTTCTGTGGTGAGCTTACTGTGTGTTTAAGAGATGGGATCTCATTATGTTGCCTAGGTTGGATTCTACTGCCTGGGCTCAAGTGATCCTCCTGCCTTGGCCTCCTGAGTAGTTGGGACCACAGGCTTGTTCTCTTAGGAGGAGTTTATCCTTTGGTTCCTCCAAGTGGTTTTTAAGAGGCAGCAAGTCGCTTGAGCCCCGTTAGCAGGCACGGGTGTGTCTTGGTCAGCGTACAGTGTCCTGTAAGATACAATGTTGATTTTCTGTCATCTTTCACCTCTGGCCCAGATATTCCCTTCTCTGCCCAGGGCCTTCCTGTTGTCCCCTGCCCATGGCACTTCTTTGGTGCAGGATGGTCTCCAGGCTCACACATGCACATTGCTCTCATCTTTTCAGGAAGGCGAGAATAACGACAAGTTCTTCACCCACCCCAAGGATGCCAAAGCGCTGGCGGCCTACCTCTTTGCACACAACCACCTCTTCTACCTGATGGAACTGTCCACGGCCCTGCTGCTGCTGCTGCTCTCCCTGTGTGAGGCCCCTGCCGTCCCTGCGCTTCGGCTCGGCATTTATGTAAGTGCCTTCAGTGATAGGATCCACTGGACCCTGAGAGGGAACATTCTGGAAGGGCAGACACCACAAATAGACTTAAGACAGAGAGACACACGGTGGTCCCGGGGGCCTTGGGAACAGAAATGGCTCAACCATCTTGTTTGGGTGTCTCCAGTGAATTGACTGCCTACCCATTCTCTGTAGTGAATTGCAGAGAAGGGCATCATCACATTGGCCTCACTCAGGATCAGTGTCCACACCTTGGCTAGAGGTGGGCAAGGCACCTTCCTAATGGGCAGTTGTGTTGCACTACCCCCAGCCTCCAAGGAGAAGGCAGCTGGTTGTGGTCACCCATGGGCGGCGGGGGTTGTGTCCCAGCGCTGTAGCTGTCCTTACACCCAGGCCAAGCCATCATTCAATGTGGGACTGTAGCAGCATGTGGAGGCTTCTTGTTCCCTTCTCAGGGAGCACATGGGAGGTATGGAAGCAGGGAAGGAAGCTCTGCTTGTTGAGTTGGGAAAACTCACCTCGCACTCTCCATGGCATCATGCCTTGCCTTCCTGTTTCTCCCTCTGCATGCCTAAGACTCTCTGTGCGAGCCGTTCTGAACTAGCCTGTGTTCCTTTCTCTCCATGCCTCCCTCGTGCTACCTCCCTCCTGGACCCCTCTTCCCAGCCCTTGCTGGCCCCTGTGGCTCCACATGCTCAGGAGGCCTTGCCCTGCCGCAACCAGAGGCTTCCCGTGGCTGCTTCCTGGCAGCTCTGGACTTCCCTGCTGGGCAATGACTCCCGGAGGGCAGGGGCCACTTGGGTTTGGTGCCCACTCAAGGTCTTTATCTGGCCTCCCTGTTGCCACAGCCTGTTTGTCGAGGGCCAGGTGAGAAGTCGAGAGGACTGGTTCCTGGAGAAGCTGCCAGAAGCCCCAGCAGGGGAGCCTCACTTGAGGATCTCTCATGTGTTCTTCTTGTTCTTTTGTCCAAAATAAGGGTAAAAATTTTAGGGGCTGCTGTCTGCTTGATGGCCCTTGTTTCTTGAACTATTAGATTTTCAGTTAAATTCTGCTTTTCTCCTCATCTTCCCCTTTTTTTTGACAGTGTCTTGCTCTGTTACCCAGGCTAGAGTACAGTGATGCCATCATAGCTCATAGTAACCTCAAATGTCTGGGCTCATGCCATCCTCCTGCCTCAGTCTCCCAGAATTCTGGGATTACAGGTGTATACCACCATACCCAGATAATTTAAAACATTTTTTAGAGACGAGGTCTTGCTGTATTGCTCAGGCTGGTCTCAAACTCCTGGTCTCAAGCAAGCCTGCCTCTGCCTCTCGGAGTGCTGGGATTACAGGCATGAGCCACAGTACCTGGCCCATTTTTGTTTTTTAAGCCCCTAATTCATGCTTTCTTTTATTATTATTATTTTTTTAGAGACAAAGTCTCACTTTGATGTTCACAGTAGAGTGCTATGGTGTCAGAGCTCACAGCAACCTCCAGCTTTTGGGCTTAGGCAATTCTCTTGCCTCAGCCTCCCAAGTAGCTGGGACTACAGGCGCCTGCCATAACACCTGGCTATTTTTTGTTGCAGTTTTGGCTGAGGCCAAGTTCGAACCTGCCACCCTCGGTATATGGGGCTGGCGCCCTATTCATTGAGCCACAGGTGCGGCCCTAATTCATGCTTTCTTAATGTCTTTTATAGGTCTTTTGTAAATTATCTGAAATCCTTCCTAGAACAAGGGCATCTAGATATAAAATATCATCTTATTAAACTTCAGGTTCCTTCCAAATTTTTCATTGCATGGACCGGCATGTCTGTTTCATGAATATTGAATTTATGTTTAGTTGTTCTGAGGAAAGCTCCATTACCAAGGCTTTGAGCATTTAGGCCCAGCTTTCATAGCTCTGGTGTGTGTTGGGAGGGAGTCCGGGGCAGGGGAGGTCGCTGTGGGCTAGGCTGATGGTGATGCTGACCTATACCCTTTGCTTGCAGGTGCACGCCACCCTGGAGCTGTTTGCCCTGATGGTGGTAGTGTTTGAGCTTTGCATGAAGTTGCGCTGGCTGGGCCTCCACACCTTCGTCCGGCACAAGCGGACCATGGTCAAGGTGCTGTGTCCTTCTATCTAGCTATCTCCTTATAGCATTTCCTCCCACATTACCTTCAAACTTCCATCTTCACCACAATTCAAAATCCCCCATGGGTGGCTGGGCTTGGTTTCTCATGCCTATAATCTTAGCACTCTGGGAGCCTGAGATGGGTGGGTTGTCTGAGCTCATGAGTTCAGGGAGAGCAGCCTGAGCCAGAGTGAGATCCCGTCTCAAAAAATAGCCAGGCATTGGGGAGAGCACCTGTAGTCCCAGCTACTCGGGAGACTGAGGCAAGGGGAATCACTTGAGCCCAAGTGTTTGAGGTTGCTATGAGCTATGATGCTGTGGTGCTCGACCAAGGGCAACAAAGCAAGACTCTGTCTCAAAAAAAGAAAAAAATCCCTCTTGTAACCTTGTCTCTTTGTTCCCACCATGCCTCCCGCCTTGTGTGGTGCCCCAGGTGTCCTGGCAATACCAGCAGTCGCTAACATGATTCAGTATTTATTTATTTATTTATTTATTTATTGTTTTTGAGACAGAGTCTCACTATGTCGCCCTCAGTAGAGTATTATGGCATCACAGCTCACAGCAACCTCAAACTCTTGGGCTTAAGTGATTCTCTTGCCTCAGCCTCCCAAGTAGCTGAGACTACAGGCATCTGCCACAATGCCTGGCTACTTTTTATTGTTGTTGCATTTGTCATTATTTTTTTGCAGGCCCGGACTGGGTTTGAGCCCGCCAGCCCCAGTGTATGTGGCTGGTGCCCTAACCACTGAGATACGGGTGTCAAGCTGATTCAGTATTTAGTATACACAAGGCACTGGCATGGTCACCTTTGAAGTGGGTGTGTTGCTCTTGCTGTTTTACATTTAGCCAGACAGAAGAGACTGGAACCCAAATCTCAGAGAGTAGGTTCACACCCAGCTGCACTTGGCCTCCATGCCTGCCCTGGCCTATCAGGGGTGCTGTGAACCTTATCTGTGCTGCAGAGACTATATGGGTAGGAGCATGTTAGGGTGGCACTTTGTAGGTGAAGAACACACACAGTGGTTTAGGAGAATGTAGCCAAATAAGCAGAAATAAAGAGGAGCTGCAGGACTCAGAGCTTCCTTGTGGGGAGAGCCGTGAGGAAAGGGCAAGCTGGAGAGGCCAGGCAGAGTGGCAGGTTTTGCATCCTCAGTGAGTACTGGCTGCTCATTCTCCTGGGGCTGTGCATCTGTGCCAGCAGTTGGAGCACTTGTCTCTGTGGCTCCCTGATGTTTCAGGTATGAGGGAGAGGTGGAGCTTGGGGAAGGGACTCACAAGGCCAAGAGTGGGCACTTTGTCTGTCCAAGGTGTGCAGGAGGAGGGCCAGGCTGCAGGAGCTGACTGAGGTCTGTGCTGCCACCCCTCAGACTTCAGTGCTGGTGGTGCAGTTCGTTGAGGCCATCGTGGTGTTGGTACGGCAGACGTCCCACGTACGGGTGACCCGGGCATTGCGCTGCATTTTCCTGGTGGACTGTCGGTACTGTGGTGGCGTCCGGCGGTAAGGCTTTGGGGGAGAACTGGTCAGAGGGTTGGTGTCATGGCATGGCCTGATCTCTGGGCAGGTGGCCCTGGAGGTCAGCATGTGATGGGATCATCCTACACGCTCACTATCCCTCTGCATTTGGCCCACACAGCAGGGAAGGCATCTTCCTGCTGCAGTTTGGAGTTTCTGGCTCCAGATCAGGATGCTTTCCCATCTCACCTGCAGCCTTCTGGAGCTGGCTGCTCTCTGAGTATGTTATCTGCCCAAAGACAGCAGCAGCCACCACCGCAGCTGCCTAAAAGAAGGCAATTCCACAAGGTCCACAAGACTCAGGCAGGCTCTCCTGACACCTCCACTGAGGCTGTGGGACTGAATGCAAACCAGACCAAGCCTAGACTTAGATTTACTTTTGGAAACTCCATCTGGAAAATTTCTTGGCTGGGGTGCTATTGATAAGAATGGGCCATCAGGTGATCCTCTGTGCCCATGCTCTTAGCACTGGGTGGCCCTGGAATGTCTTCATATGGCCCACATCTAGCTGTGGAAGCTGACCTCTATTGTCAAGGCCAAAACCTTGGGATTCTGCCACTCCTTCCCTCTCTGACAGGGTACTTACCTGCTGGGGCTGTCACCAGATAGAAGTGGCCATGTGTGCTGTATCTGCCCCAGTTCTTCTCTGTCACCCCCCCAGAGGGGTCTCAAGCCACTTTAGAAAAAATCTAAGGACACTGTCCTGCCAGTCATGTCATACACGGTGGGGTTTAGTGTTCTGAGTCAGTGCTCTAGGCCCTCCATTGTTGAACATGGCCCTGGCGAGGGAATCCCATATAGCCTTTCCCAGGCTGGGTACCCTGAACCTGGCCTGTCTGTCTTTGTCCCCAGCAACCTGCGGCAGATTTTCCAGTCTCTGCCGCCTTTCATGGACATCCTCCTGCTGCTGCTCTTCTTCATGGTCATCTTTGCCATCCTTGGTGAGTTCCCTGTTCCCCTGGACCCAGCTGGCCTCTAAAAGCAAGTTCATGGTTGAAGAAAAATTATTTTGGCGGTTGTTGTCCTTTTGGGCAGCTGTCACAATATACTGAGGACCAGGTGGCTTATGAATAACAGAAATTTATTTCTCACAGACTGGGAGGTCCAAGATCAAGGCAGTTGGTGTCTGGTGACAGCCTGTTTCCTGGTCCAGGAGGTGGAAGGGGCAAGACAGCTCCTGGGGCCCCTTTTATAAGAATACTAATCTCACTTCTGTGGGTGCTATCCTCACCACCTAGTTACCTCCCAAAGGCCCCGCCTCCCAATACCATCATCTCAGGGGTTAGGATATTTTTTTTTTTTTTTTTTTTTT